TCAAGAGGCTTTAGAATACAGAACCCTTGAAAGGTGGCATAGCTATTGCCTTTTCTTCAACTGTTCTTCAGAATTTGATTGTGGGATTATGGGATAATATTTCTTTTTCTCAATACACAGAAATTGAGCTTGGATGTGAGCCAGGAAAAAAATAGTTTCAGCATTATTAGCTTCCTTGTAGCTCGAAAGAGAGGATATTAATTTCATTAACTGGATGTTAATGATATTTCTATTATTTCCATTCTACTGCTGCTTGGACATTCAAACAGTTGGTTTTTTTTGTTGTTGTTGTTTTTGCAGTGCAACATGTTTGTTTCTGGCCAATTTCATGAGCTGGTTCAATGAATCAATGTATAACGAGTCAGGGGTAGGCTGCCACAGGTTTGCATAGGTTCAGGAGAACCTGTGGCTAACATTATAGCTGGTTTGAAGAACCTCCTAATCCCACCCCTGGCTGGCGTCACCTACCCCGGTTGCTGGGGTTGTGTGGCCATGGTGGGTGTAGCCTAATCGGCCTCCTGCACCATGGCAGGAGAGGGGGGACGTTTGCACCTTCCCTAGGCTCTGGAGGCTTTCCTTGAGCCTCTGGGAGGGTGAAAATGGGTCTGTTTCTTGCCTTCTGGAACTTCCAGGGGGCCTGTTTTCCCCCTCCCAGGAGTCTCCACATGGCCTGTTTTGGATGTGAGGTAAGTGTAGGACCCGTGTGGAGGCTCGGGGTGGGGAAAATGGGCCTCTTGGAAGTTCCAGAAGGCCAGAAACAGGCCCATTTTCACCCTCTCAGAGGCATTAAATTATATTATTATTATTATTATTATTTTATAATAATATAGAATATAGAAAATTCTATATTTCTATATTTAATATAGAAAACAATGAAACTAGTGATACCAAAAGTATATTCCAACTGAAGTCCATTAAATGAACAAGGTAGAAGTACTATCTTCCAAGTAATGTAAAAAGGTACAAGGGCAGAAATATGTCATAGTAAGCTAAAAATAATGAGCAAGACAACAGTTGATTATGTTACATATTTACCATTTCACCAAACAGGAGCATAATTATGTTTACAATTACAACTTTCTAAAATTTATTCATATACTTTTATTAGATTCTTCAATGTACCCTTGTTAGGCAGAAAGATCAGCACAAGGTCAGTTAAGCGTGTTTTTTAAAAAATACTTAGAACAAATAGATGTTCAATAGTTGGGCATACTGTTTGATTTAGTTTGAACTTTCTAAGCCTGTTGTGAGTAAAATTGATGGCTTTTGTCATTTTAAAAGCTCAAGTAAGAATCCATATGATCTTCTAAAAATGGCTATCCATTGTTGAGTGGAGTAAAAGGTAGGATATTTTCTTTCTTCTATAATTACTCTGGGGAGCAGAGTGTTTGCTGAGAGGTATATATCATTGTCCTCATCCTTGTGGATTTTCTGTAATAAATGCATGGCATTATGCAAACTGGCAACTGAACTCGAAAATTACTTGATCTGATTTACTACAACTTTTCAAATATTCATAAACTTACAGTTTTATATAGATGGCTCACAGCAAAGCAGAATGTATCTTAAAAATTCCTATCAAAAGAAACTATGCTCTTTGTAATACAACAAGGATTTCCAATATTCCAATATTATTTTAAGTAGTGATGTGCTACAATATTGTCAGCTTACTATTTTCCATGGATTCTTGAATATGTAGCATCATTGCAGAGTGGTAGCCTCCAAGTACATCATGAGGATGGCTAGAAAGGTTATGGGCAACTCCACGGTTGCCCTTATGACCAGAACCACTGCTGTTCTTGGCCGAGACTGTTTGGCCCCTGTAGAGTTGTGCCTGATGTTCACACAACCCAAATTTGCTAAGCAAGATGAAGATATCTCTTCGGAATGCTTTGGTAAAGATAGCATAAAGGAATGGGTTAGCACAAGAATTGAGTGGATACAACAAGACCAGCAGAATTTTTGAGTTGCTGACTGTTATTAAGGGTCTGTTTATAACAGCAGATAAGGCATAGAATGAGATCGGTGCCATACATAAAAAGTCAGTAAAAATTAGCACAGCCATCCTTTTTGCAATGATTGTGTCTTTGTTCCCTGACTTGAATTGGGGATTCCTTACTGTAATATAAATTTTAATATAGCAAGCACATATGATGATGAAAGCAACAATGTTCAACAGCAAAATAATGATAATGTAAGCTTGATCTACAGGTGTTTCAGTGTTCATGGGAAGGCAGATGCTAACTTTTCCATAACTACTGACTCCAATCAAAGGTAAAAGGGCAAGAAGGAAACATATCAGCCAACCACCCAACATAATAAAAAAAGCATGCCAAAGGCGAATTTTTTTATCTAAGCGCATGGCAAACGTAATAGCATACCACCGTTCAAGGGTGATTGTAGTCAAAGTAAAGATTGATAACTCACTAGCAAAGACAGTAAAAAAGCCAGCTGTGTTACAACCAGGCCCAGTTTGCCAATCAATGGCATAGTTATAATACTCTGATCTAGTATAAAGATCCACTGAAGCAATCAAGAGAAGATACAATCCCATACAAAGATCAGCAAAGGCCAAGTTACACATCAAGAACCGTGGAACAGTCAACTTGTAATGGCTAGTGAGTAAGATAAAGAGAACAAAAATATTGCCCACAATGGCCAGCAAGTTTACAAACCATACCACTATCCTTAAAAATCTGTACCCCATTACATCTTCACAGGGGTTGAACTCATCAGGCCTTGGGCTGCAACTAATATCATCATTACCTGTACAGATAACATAATCATAATGATTATCGAAAGTCACAATATTCTCTTGGGGGTTCTTGAGCTCTTGACCAAATCCATCTTCTCTATTGTTATGTTCTTCAAAGAAGACATAATAACGGGAATTTCCATGAAGGTCTCTAAATTTGGAATTCTCATCATGAACAGCATCCGTGTGATCTGAATAATCTTCTGCATAATCCTGATAGAAAGGCGCCCTGAATGTACTGGAAGATCTTCTCTTGCGAATGCTGAGATTGTTAGTTTGATTACACAGCAAGAACTCTAAGATTCTAAAGGAGCAATAGAAAGCATGATTAATAAAATATGTAGCTTATTTAGAGCAAGAAAATGAATCAGTGGGGAATATTTATTGTGAGCTAATGCAACATTATTTGAGAAAAGTGCAGTGTTCTAGCTTTGGAATAAAGCTACAATTCTAAGGTCTAATTATGATAATGACATTTTGATTAGACAACTATTCCTTTAAGAAAGCTATTACCCATTTAATTATACTTTACTGTTATTACACTGCATTTGCTTTTGTTTCTGTTTATTATAACAAATTGCTATCCTTCCTTTCCTTTATAAAATTCTTTTGTACAGTTTACAGTAAACATCATGCTTCAGAACAAATGCAATCTAATCTTATTAAATTGGAGCAGCCATTGAGTATAAAATCTACTTTAAAGAGGTTAAAACAGTATTTAAAGATGATGATAATTTAGTCCACGGTGAAGAGGTGGACTTCATTCAGTGCTTAAATAAACACAAGGTTGACTTTCTATGGAGAGAATCTTAAAGTCTGAGTGCCATTTCAAATATTCGCTCTCTCATTTGCATCACATCTGATGTGAAGAAAAGTTGAAGAGGTTTCTGAAGATACATTTCTATTGTTGAGCAGGTTCATGAGCCAGAATTAAATTCCTTAGATAGTTGGATTCTAACCCATTTAAAATTTAATACCATTTTTAAAACTTACCCCTTAGCTTTCTTCCAATTCTTAAAAGCACAACAGTGACTTGGGTATGACAGAGCAGCATAAGTTAGATAAGGAAAAGTTTTTACTGGGGGGAATTTCTTTAGAGTCCAGGTATTTTGAGCCATCAGTTCTTTCAAGTTTTCTAATCCTCTTTCTGGCAGTGAAGTGATACATGTCTGGGACACGTCACTAAAGATAGACACAGAGCAAAAATCAAGGACAATTAGTAATGTCAGTTTCTCATGAAATGCTTCATGGATCTTTAATTTATATGCCATACAACTGTCAAATGCCTTAAAAGAATTAACAAACATAGAAATTAAGAGCAACATGTAGAACCAAAGCCTACACAGTTTTATTTATAGCTGAACCAGTTTCTTCCTATGTACTATATTCTCTACAAAAAATAATCCATTCCTAGACTCCTATACTAGGCTGTCTAGACTTTGGATTTATTTGCCAGGGGGGTATGTGTTCAGTCTAAGCAAGTATGACTTTAAAATGTCACCTTCCATACCATCACCAAAATGATTAGCATTTTTTCCATGATCCACCATTTTGGCCCGACTTTGCTCTGTTGTGTTGCTTGACACCCACTTTCTCCATATTTTAGACAGAAATTAACTGGATTTTTATGCTAAAAGGCATCTGACATCCAGCATTATGGTTATTTTTAACTGGCAAAATATTTTTAAACTTTTGCTTGACTTAATATTTCTGAGTTATCTTTGGCCTGTTGACTTACGATTTGAAAATCTTAAACTTCGAAATAATATCATCACACAGCTAAGAAAAAAAAACAGGAAAACTCTCTTTTTTCTTCTTTAAATAAAATCAAACTTCATGCATTCAAAATAATTTATAAGGCATGCAAAACAATTATAAGAATAATAAACCAGTTCAGCTGAAAGTAAATTGATGTCACTTGAAAAACATTTCTCTCTCTCTCCCTCCCTCTTTGCACCCTCTTCCCACCATCTCTATCCACAATACAGATGACTTCCCATTTCTTAGTTCACACCTGCTCCTATGCCTGCCTTTTGGTACTATTGAGATTGGAAAGAGTAATTGCTTAAAACATTATGTAACACAGTAATACTTTTAGCAATAAATATTTTGTACTATCTTTGCACTTTGCACTATATCCTTAAAAGTTATCTCTGTTGTTATAATATAAAACACTTCCCCCCACCCCCAAAAAACCATACATTTTAAAAAATTCAATTGTCATCATACTTTAGCACTGAGAGTTCCAGGTAGCATCCATTGTACCTACTCCTCAAATTTTCTACATAACCACAGCCTTACTTGGTAACTTGAGTTGTGTGTTTCCATAACAGAAGATGGCAGAAGAAGAACTGAACCTGAGTTGTCCCACTCATAGTCCAGCAACTTATATGTAACCCAGAATACTCCAATTATATTTTTGGCACTTTCAGTTTTGTAATGAAAAAAATAAAAATAAAGGAGCAGATTCCTCCATGAAGAAGATGTAAGAATCTGAAGCTTGTTTTCATGTATACCTAGAGGCAGGCTTAAAAAACTTAAAGTGGAATGTGATTATCCTGCATCAGGTATTAAACGAGAATTATAACTTTGCACTCATGTCAGAAGCTCCGAGGTGCTGCCAGGTTGAAAGGATTAGCCGGTGAAATCACCTTGCCCTGTGGATGCCCAGATGGGGGCTCCTTTCATGTCCCCAGCAGGAGCTGGAGTTAAAGGCGAGCTCAACTCCATCTCACGGCAGCTCTCGAGTCTCAAATGCTGCTTACTACCTTCCTGTTCAGTGTTTCAACCACTTGAGCCACTGTGCTCCTAGAATTGTGAACATAACTGAATATGTGAAAGGAAATGGCGTATGGAACATAGTGAAGAATATGGTGACCAAATTATTATTTGCATCATGAATTCAGTAAATTATATTTTTAGTGCAATTTACAAACAGGAATTGTCTTAAGGGACTCTTTGTGGTGATGGTATTTAAGAATTTTGAATTTCCCTCCTCACTGGCTGACTAAGTGGAGACTTAAGAATTCAATTTATACCTTCTGAGCTGCTATTATTTTAATCTGTATAGGTCCTTTGCTTAGACCGAAACCTAATAGGTTTTCAAGTGCTCTTCCAGGATTTGCCAGTCCATGCTTTGACTAGAAAAGATGCCATACCTTGATTGCTACCAAATTTTATGAAAAAGTGGTGTCACTAATGCTGGAAATTTTCATCTACAATATGCTTCAGAATTCCCATCTTTTTGACACATTTTCTGTTGTCCATTATGAACATCTACTATTATTGCTTTTAACAATCTGCTGTTCTGTCATTTTTATGTTTCTTTCCAGAGATGGTATTCAGCAGGTTCTGACCAGTTCTGGGGAACCAGCAGTGGAAATTTTGAGCAGTTCAGAGGACTGGTAAATACCATCTCTGACTGGCCCCCATCTATTCTCTGCCTCCCGAGTCTCAGCTGATCAGGAGGAAATGGGGATTTTGCATTAACCTTCCCCTGGAGTGGAGTGGGAATAGAGATTTTATAGTATTCTTCCACTGCTACGGCCACTAAGCCATGCCACGCCCACCAAGCCACTCTCTCAGAACCGGTAGTAAAAATTTTGGAATCCCACCACTGTTTCTTAACCATTATTTTGTCTTTGCAAACAGCTCTACAATCCAATTATAAGCAACATACACATTTACAAAAAAAGAGCTGTTTAATTCTATGTATGACTCTCTTAAATAAGACATTGCTTAACCAATCATACTGACATTCTTTAACATTCAGATGAATCTAAAGTTCTCAAGTCATTTCCTTTGGTGCTTCTGTGTACAAACCAGTACAATAATAACCCTGCTAAGATGAATAGTTAGATGAGCAAAGCAGAAGCTTAATATTTATTGGTTTTTTTTCTGTTCCCAAGTAAGTTACTTCTTTCAGATTCCATGATTTCATGGTGGTGGAATGTGAATAAGTTCACCTTCCAGAATATTACTCTACAGTATAAACATTACTATTCTCATTTAATGTTTACGCTTAAAAAACAACAACCCCAAAAGTTGATTGTATGAACAGCGCTGAAGCCACTCTGATCATCCCAATTAAAAACAAAACAAAATTAAAGCCATATGGATTTCCTTAGACAAAATAGATAGATGTAAAATTTGCATGGTTAAATACAGCCTGAAAATTGGCATGGTCATAAAAGATGCATTTTGTGGTGCACAAGGATGTTGGGAAGGCTGCATGAGTTCCTTTGGCAGAATGCAACTTTTGATCCTTGCTCTTTGGTAATCTAATGGAAATTTCTTTTGCAAAGATATACCGTAACTGTCCAAGAATTCAGTTTCTCTTCAAATCAAACTCTGAGACTGACCCAGCCTTTCCTGGATTCTTGTTGCTTTTCTAAGATGCTTTGGCACCTCTGTACTGGTAGTGCCTACTAATGGTGCCTTCACTAAACCTGTGGAACTAACCTCTCACTCAGAGAGAAAGAAATCCTTGGACTCAATAAGGAGACTGCTCCTATGTGTTTCAAGACTGAATCAGTATAGATCACCTTTGTTATTTGGGATTGTACTAGCTATGGTTTTACATTTCTATGGTTGCTAAAACAAGATCTCAGTTTTTGAGACCCAGTTTCTACAACATACATATATACAAACATACATATAGACATACTTATATGCATGTATGTATATAGGGGTGGGATAGCTCAGTGGGTAAAAATTTCGTGATCCCAGTGCCACGCAATGAGGTGAACTCCCATTCCCTGCCCCTACCTAGCAGTTTGAAAGCATGCAAATCTAAGTAGATATATAAATATCACTTTGGTGGGAAGGTAACAGCGTTCCGTGTGCCTCAGCATATTATTATAGTGGCCACATGACTACAGAACTGTCTTCAGATAATGCGGGCTCCCTTGGCTAAGAAACAGACATGAGGATTGCCCCCTAGAGTTGGACATGTCTGGACAGGGGAAATATTTACTTTTATCTTTCATGCATGTGTCACGTTCCGGTGTTCACGTTGCATACAAACAGGCCATTGCACCCGAGTAGAAAAGCCACATGCAGCTATAGGCTCAATCGACATCAGAGAGGCAACATCAACGTGGCAGCATTAGTGGCATGTAAGCATGGCCGAGTGGGCATGGTGATGGACAGGTTCCCCCTGGATGGCAGCCTGAGGGCTGACAACATGCATGTATGCAAGCATGCATGCATGTTTGTATGCCTGTTTATGAGTGTATATATATTGCATATATATGGCTAGCTGATGAGAGCTAAATAGCTTGAAATAGATCTATACTAGTCTCCCTTTATTTATTTATCAGCACAAATACAACATTGCATATATATTGCATATATGTATGTGTGTATATATATTTTGCATTATGTGCATTATGTATGCATGTATGCATGTATTATGTATGTGTGTGTGTAATGTATGTATTTGCAAAAAAAAAAAAAAAAAAAGCTTTTAAGTAAAGTACATTTTCTCCAAGTCCAAAGTCTTGTTATTCATAGTTTCTAGACTGACAGGTAACCTCATGGATAATAAGGAACCTATATTTGATTTATTTACATTGAGATCCAAAATAGTATGCCAGGAATATAGAACCTAGCTTTTATCCTGTTCAACATACTAACTGCACCTTTGACAAATCCTAGAAAAAATATATTTCTGTCTCTACCCTGTTCTCCTGGACCTACAACTTTTTCACATCTTTTCCATATGTCTATCCAATGTTTACTATTTTTCTGTAGGAGTCTATTTATTTTGCCTCAGATTTCCTCTTTTTAACTGCTTCCTTTGATTAGTTAGCTGTCAGTTCCTGACATTTTCCTGGCATCATTTTCCTTGCCATAGCTGATAAATGCTGTTTTCCATTCTCTTTTTATTTTGTAATTTAGATATTTAGAAGTAATGAACCAATCCACATACTGGAAACAAACAAGTTAATCACATTTTTTCTTCCTGTAATGAATAATTGCTCCTGCATTGATTATACAATCAAGTATACTTACTGAATTAAATTGATTCTCCCCTTGAGCTTGTATTCTAACCCCAAAATAAATAAGTACCTCTGTGTGAATGTTCAATACATTATTTCCAAAATGTGAGTCACCCTGAAATATGCCAAATCTACTAGTGTTAGCGAGTTATTGACTGTTTTTCTGTATTTCTCCAACTGCTGATAGCTATTCCTAAGAAGAAAATGAAGCCTCTTTAGGGAAGCAGGTTTAGAACTGGAATAAATGTTTCATTTGTGGTCATAATATCACAGATAAATTTGGAACAATCCATGTCACACAATACGATCAGGTTATTAAGCTCATTTTGTTTTTGCTGAATTTGTCCAGATGAATTTGCCTAACACAGTAAAATAGCTCTCAGAATGTTCACTAAGTTCTATTGCAAAAGGGAACAAATGTTTGATCTTTCTTCAAATTCATAACAGAATTGCTGATTTCAGTTTCTTCTGCTTCATTGATTGTTTGCATTTGAGGGTAAATACAGTTTTATGACTTGGGGAGAAGAAGAGTATCTAATATTACCTATCGGCAATAAAGATATTTTCACAGATAGGTGCAACCTCTGTTCTGAAAGGGCTGTAATAGGGGGCAGTGGGGAAAGCAAAACACACACCTGCCCAAAAAAGATGACAGCAAAACACCTTTCTCATTGTTTTCAAGAAAAAAAAAGCATGGATATGTCATTCTAACAAAGGGGCTATCACTGGGTGGACAACATGAAGCTCTCAGCGCAACTCCTAATTGTGAAATATACATACCACAATAGATTGTAGGTAGATAAACAAACCTGAGCAGCTCCTAATTGTGAAATATACATACCACAATATATTGTAGGTAGATAAGCAAACCTGAGCAGCAGAAAAGCCAACAACAATAGTACTCACTAAGACTTCTAATATAATAAGTCTACAGTCTGTTGACATTGTATCATATCCTAGTCACCTTACAGCAAGAACATGACTCCAGAGGAATGTATGAGTAGATAGCTCATGCCTTAGCATTATAATTATTTAAATAACCAGTGACCTAGCAATCATTATCCAATAATTATTTATGAATACCACTAGAATAACTTAATATATTCTTCCCCCGTTACTCACAGTAGGCTTGGACCACTTTGAACACCCAAAAATGCATCTTCATCAATAACTTTTAGATATTTGTTCTTATGCAGGTACCTGCAGAGAAGCAGTGACACAAATTTTTAGTCCTTAAATTAGAAATGTTAGTCAAACTGAAGTCTTAAATGCAACAATCAAGAGGATTTCTAAAAATTAGTAGCAGTTAAATATTCAGAACAGCTATCAGCTTAAAGACAAGTAAAGATAAATTAGGTTACAATTTCAAAGGCTAGGAAGTTAACAAGGCAGCAGGAGTGCCCTCAGGCCACCAGCCATCCACAAGGATGCATCATACTTTTAGACCCAATGCAAATTGGCAAAGCCAGGTCTTAACATTCCTCCAGAAAACCAGAAGATAGGAAAAAACTTAGCTACCCTAACCTCCATTTCCACCTCTGTGTTGTCAGAAAGTAGGACTACTATATTTGGGCTGCAAAAATCTGGATGAAACTACTTAATAATATGTGAAACATCTCTTTTCCAAGCAGGTATTTACAATATCACAGTTATTAAATAGGAGATCTTTATAAGATAAAAGAGGCATTGTGTTAGTTGTTAAAAGGCTCTTTATAATTCTGGAATTCACACTTAGTCAATATATAACTGTACATAATCAAAGGGGTGGATATATTCTAATTAGGTATATTTGGTTATAGCCAGTATGCTAATTAAATACTTAAATGACATATTACTATAATGCTCCAGTATGAGCTATTAAAATCAAACCCATTCTCACACTAATTGTATCTGAGCTTCACCATAAACTAGACAAAATTAGTGATGGAATGGATTTGTTAACCATTTAGAGTATCTAAAGTAAAAAACATTTACAGTAAACCTCATTAAACGTACTAGATTGTTGGTTAAAGTGCATGTACAGCTTTCTGTAAATAACTCTTCTATAAATAACAGACTTTGATCCTGTTCTGGAAAAGATGCTCATTTACATGAAGTGGACATCCCTTTGAAGACTGGGGATATACCTTGTCTTAAAACTGAAGTTGAGCTGAGAATTACGGTAATAAAACATCCAGATTGCTAGTGAGTCATCACATGGCTGATCTGATTTTATATTTTAAAAATTGCAGCGGTTATTAAGCAAATAACTGAGCCAGGGTGGCACAGTGGTTACAGTGCAGTACTGCAGGCTACTTCAGCAGCTGCAGTTCGCCAGTTCAAATCTCACCAGCTCAATGTTGACTCAGCCTTCCATCCTTCCAAGGTGGATAAAATGAGGACCCAGATTGTTGGGGGCAATATGCTGACTCTCTGTAAACCTCTTAGAGAGGGCTGTAAAAGCACTATGAAGCAATATATAAATCTAAGTCTTATTGCTATTGCTAATTACCATGAATTGTAAAGCAACCGATTTTTCAAAAAGTAAATACTGGTTTCCAACCCAAAAAACCTTGAAAATCATGGTCACGTGACTGCCATAAATGCAAGGCAGTTGCAGACTGCCCAAAACGCAACCATGTGACCATTTGAGGAAGCCATTGGGACTTTTAGTGTCCATTGTAACTTCAAATAATTGTTATATATTACAGACTTAATACAATACAATACAATACAATAGCAGAGTTGGAAGGGACCTTGGAGTCTTCTAGTCCAACCCCCTGCCTAGGCAGGAAAACCTATACCATTTCAGACAACTTATTTGATCCCATGTCAGTGAATGAAGATGCAGAGATGAACAGCACCATAAATAGACCAGAATGTTTGAAGCTTTCCCCTTTTTTTGTATGAAAGAGTTTTCATGGAAGAGGGAGTTTAAACTACATTTTTAAATTTCCTTGCTCAAAATGGTGGCAAAATGTTAACAATTTCTGGTTGGATGAGGTCTTGAAGGAGTAAAAAAATGATTTCTCCAACTGCCCATCCATGATTTATATTCTGTGTCCCTATCTAAGAACCGAATTATTAACATTTTAGGGTAGGGATTTTCTTAATTTTATAGAAAATAAGTGGCATCAAAAATCCATTTATATAAAGAAGAAATGTGGCCTTACAGCAAATCATGTTTTTTTGTTTATTTGTCTGGCATCATTTTCTAAGAGCTAAGGCCAGTCTGAGTGTTTTAGTTAGAAACTTATATAATACTATGCTACTGGCAATATGTTCAGGTTTTAAGTCATAAGAGTGACCAAGCCCTAAATGTCCTGTTGACAGAGATTATATTTTGTTTCTACAGGTGTCAAAAGAGAAAAACCTTGGAAAAAAATATTACCTTTTTTTGGGAAACACAAGTAATACAATGTTAGAACTAACAGGTTTTTTTCCAATCAGAGATTGGAAAAATCTCTGGGGTTCTGCATTTTGCATTAGTTACGTTACAGATAGCACAGTCAGTTTTTCAAATCGAGTACAGTATGAGAGTTTTGTTTTAAAAAGTATGGAATACTTAATTCTAAGAATACATAAAATACCTGAATAAGAATTACTTTAATAGAAAATGACCACAAAGCATTGTGTACAGTTATGCTTTTACACTTCTATCATTGAACAATTACTAATGTAATTCTGAAATTATTAAAATGGCAATTGTTGTAGATTATATATTTTAATAATAGTCATTAAACTGCATGCTCCTTTCTCAGAACAATTTAGAGTTACGTTGTTGTGATTGTTGCTGTTTGAAAACCAGAAGTAAAAAGTTCCTAAAAAGTTGAAAAGCAGCGCAAAGGATACATGGCACTGATTAGCTTTCTACCAGAATAGTTTGAAAGAGAGTTTGTCATCATTTATACCCATGTTTTATGAACTGTGTTATGGTTTCTATTTTTATGCTACATAGACTGTACAGTGATTACACAACAAATACCTTAACTGCTATTCAGATAATTTATAATGAAGTATTTGAAAGAAATAAAAATGTTAAATGTTCTGAAAATAGTTCAGAACGATTGTTTAAGCTCCCATGGAGTTTAGTGGAACAATCAGAGTGCCCACAGAAGAAAATAGGGGAAATAGCACAATTTTCAGCATCTCACAAGATCTTCAAAGGGAGCATAGGGAGCATTGTAAATACTTTTGTGGATCATAACACACTTCATTAAAGGCATGTAATAGTTTAGTGAAGTTCTTGGATAATAAATATGTTTCCAGTTGATGCAGAAAATGTACACATCTGGCAATTTTGTAAATTGTTATTGAGTATATTCTCTGTCACTGAAAAATGGAACTGATACCGTGCTTTCCCAACAATAAGACAGGGTGTTATTTTATTTTGATCCCCAAAATAAGCGCTTGGCCTTATTTTCAGGGAGATCTTATTATTTTTGAGGTGCAGGAGAAGGCGAGCGTGGTCACCTCATGGCTGTTGCTGTGTTGCAATATTTGGAGGGGGGTATTTTAGTGCATGCGCTCAAAAGCCTGATTGGGCTTATTATCTGGGAAGGTCTTATTTTCAAGGAAACAGAATAGCAAAGGGTTAACACTACTTCAGTCAGTCACTCAGAAGATCAGACTAAGGTTTGGATCCAACAGGGGCACCCCCTCCATCCTCAGTCTTAGGTCTGCCTTCTAGTAAAGGAGGTCTTTTTTTCCTCTCAGCTCCATCTGGGCCAAGAAATACATTTATTGCCTTTGAACTAACTGAATAAAATAAACTTAATGGGACTGAAAAAGAGATTGGAGTGAATAGCAGATTGTGAGAACATGCAGCAAGGAGAAAGCTGTCTTTCCCAGAAATTTCTCACCACCCATTTGTTTCAGTGACTGCTCAGAGATCTATAAATTCCTCTGTGCAGAATCACAGAGGTCCCTAGAAAGTCGCTTTGGCCAAATCAGACTGCAATGGTGGTCAGGAAGCAGTGAAAAAGGTGTTGCACAAATGTGCTTCCTTGTGGCTGCCTGTATATTCCTTTTTGGGGAATATTCCAATACTTGTTCCGGGAGGAGATAGTAAAAGAGATATACAATCCAACCTTGGACAGTCTTCAGTCTGCAGCCTGGTCTTTGGCAACCAGAATGGCAGCACGTTATGGTCTACGCTTACTGGTAGATACTGGAAAGCTGATTGTTAGTCAAGAATTAATCTAGTACCCAAGCTTTGGGGGAGGCAGAATTTGTTTTGGAAATCTTCTGATATAATGCTAGTGGACAGTAAAAATAAAATTAAGCTCTTACCATCAACAATAGAGAGTACCTAGTATCACATAATATAATTAGCTTTCTTTTGGATTAAAGAACAACCTTCATTCATCAAGACAGTCAAGGAAGTCGAAGCTGGGGGGTTCTGGAAAGGGAAGAAGCAAGTCCAAGTGCTAGGATAAAATAACCCCTTACTGACATCACAATTTCTCAGATTGCCAGATTATGTCAAAGATTTTGGAATATCTGGGAATGGACTTGCAAGAGGGTCCTGGAGGTGTGTACTGGAAATAGATATGGGCTGAAATTTTTTTGTGTGACTATTTAGTGTGCATTTATTTACAATAAATGGTTGTTTTTTTAAAAAAAATATTAATTTATTTAAATTATTCAAAATAAAAACTAAACATTTTTTAAACTTTTTTAACAACTGCTAATATGTTGACAATTTGTGCCTGAAAAAAAGCAGAAGGCGATTATGCCCAGTATAGATCTTTCTGTAAAGAATAACAGAAGAGTGTATCTTTTTCATAGACCTGAAAGATGCTATTAATTTTACATTATACAAGGATACATTATATGATATTCCTGTTGCTAAGCTAAATTAAATAAATCATCTGCTTCTAAAAAGAGTGAAGTTGCAGTACTGATTGGACATACAATAACTCTTTCAATTGTACATGGAGAATTTGATCAGTAGTAGAGGCCAAAATGTTTTACCAAACATTTACAGGAACAGTATATGAAATATCTTCTTGCCTTGAAATCATTGCAAGGAACAAAGTTTTACCCAGAAGCATTGGTGGTCACAAAATTTACATCAACAACATCTTACAAAATGGAATTCATATGCTTTTAAAATATCTTTGTTTCTTTAACTACTTTCAAGTAAAGTGAAGAAATTATATTTCACCAACTTAAATTCACACACACACAAAATCCAGCAGTTTGCTGCCATGAAATCCCTCCTTAACAAACACAATTGGAACAGGCAACTCTGTAGCTAAGTGATGAGGTTATTACAAAAAAAATACTATCATACGACTGTGATTTTATTGCCAGCTTCTTTACTGCCGCTGATTGTAGAAAGCTGGCTGTGATGTGCGCAAATGGCGGTCACAGGTCCAAAGAATGCTGCAATGGTTGTTATTGTGTATGCGCAGGCATGGGCGGGGATTTCCATTCCGGTCCGCGCTGACCATGGGAAATATTTTGAATCTTTTGGCTAACAGCCGCCCAGACTAAGCGCAGGAAAATGCGTTGAATCTATTGGTTGAAGGCTGACTGGTCTCTGAATAAATGAGCACTGCCAACCCGCATCCTTGTTTTGTTAGTTAGAATGTAGCAAATAAAGAGTGTTGATTCCAATCGGCTTCCATTCCATTCTTCACCCAAATCTAACAGTTTTAAATGCCTTCCAGTTGTGAAATGCCTACGTTTTCATCATTCAACTGTGACGATGCTGTAACAGTTGTAAGTGTGAGGGCTGGTCATAAAGTTANAATAACTGTAATGCCTAGTGCACAATCTTTCTGACACACTGCATGAGCTCAGGAGTGTTTTGCTGCTGGTTTTCATTTGAACTCAATGTATGATGCATCTCATTACAGTATCCAACAATAGTCAGCCAGCATTGATGGATTCCAATTGCCCTGATATATTTTTCAAATGTGGAAATGTCCTTTTACCACATTTGTCAATGACTGCACCTAAATTTTGGGAAAAGAAATCCGTTTGGATGCAGAAAATGAATCTTCAATGATACATTGCACTTCATGGTCTGGTGCTATAGGAAATTTGTCAATCAGTTGAGTGTGGTTTTACTGCTCTGTATTTTGCCAAGAAAATTCTCAACAACATCCTTTGGTATTTTTCAGGTGATTTTCTCTGGTCCCACTAACAGTTCTTCAACTGTTTGTCACTGATGATGTATCTGATCTGTGGACCATCAAAAATACCTTCTTTACTCTTGGCATCAGTTATTTTTGGAAACATCTGTCTCAAATAACGAAAACCTTCACCTTCCTTGTTTATTGCTTTCCAAAAAAATTTCATCAGTCCGAGTTTTATGTAAAGTAGATGCAAAAATATATTTCTTGGTCCTCAAGTGATTCAATATGCCCTGAGTGTATGATTGGGCTATATAAAGCATACATATAAGAAGCACTTGCAAAAACAGAAAATTATCCTGATTAGCAGGAAAAAAAAAAAACTTTATAAGATACACCCAAAGTGTTCAGGAGCAATTTTTTGTTGTCTAGTGTTATGCATTACAGTATAAACTTCCAGCAAGGGTGACTTTTGGTGGTATACTATTTGTTGCAATCCTTCCTCAAATTTTCCTTTATATGAGGATTAATGCAAAAATTCTTAAATTTAAATATTTTCCCAACAGTAGTTTATTAAACCAAAATGTACTATAGTCATCCTACTGCCATTTTCTCTTTGTTTTGTAAGGTAATGATTGTAAAAACGAAACAAGATCTGTACTACAGCTGTTGTTGTAATCCTATTTGAAGCTCATCCCAACTCCTAGAAATCATAGAGTACGCCTATACAGGATAGGGCTGAATTATTGACATGAGTATTGTCGGTAATGATTTAAAGAAGTTTATCAGAGTATATCTTTGCACATTAGTGTATATTACACTAACACATATCCTGTAGAAATCATTCTTTTGAGTACTTAAATTAACATAATCAAATCAATACCATCTATATGTCAAAAAGGGAGACAGCCTGGATAAGTCTCTGCAATTTTCTTTCTTTTCAAGGTTTTTCAAAAGTGGACTTTCATTGCAAGAAAGTTAGTGACCCAAGTTCACCCAGAGGACTTTGTCTCTGTGGTGAGACCAAAACTCACCATCTGCCTAACAATAACACCAATATGACCCTCGTGTGCATTCTCGAAATCATTCAAATAACAGCTCAAGCCTGTATTTATTATAAATTGGGGCTTTTTTTCTTTTAAAAATGTTGTTTACAATGCTTCATATTACAGCTGTCAGGGTATTTCTTCTGTTGTATCAATGTCTATGGCTATTCCAGGTTTCTGGAATGAATTCAGCTGATGACATTCAACCCCGTAGGATTAGTAGAGAATGAAGAGTGAGCTTCAGGCAAAATCCTATTAATTTTACACTTGTAAAATAAGGAATAAAAGCTTTTATTCTCTTTCACACATTCTTCCCAGAGAATCTTACTTTAAAAAATGCTGAAGTTTAAAAATCAATTGTTTTAAAGAAGTGTATTCTATTTATTCTTAAATTTTTCACAATTATTAATATTGTAGTGGATTTTATACTGGCTGTTTACAAACTGGATTGTCTTATTACGTTATTTAAGTCAAATATTCCAGATCTTCCCTGTGCTGAGATAGATAATAGAAGATTATTAGTATTAGCTTATAAATTAAAATGATAGCATATAAATAATGGAGCAGTAATCCAACTCTGCTTATAGTTTATAACCCAATTTAACTCAAAATAAATCTTAAAGTCCTGCCTCAAAGATTCTGAGATATTGTAGATATCTCTCTCAGTAGACAGAGAAAAGAAGAAGAAGAAAAAACATTCTTTGGCCAAAGTATTTGAGTTTCATCTTCAGAATCTGAGCTTCTATAGAGCAGCCAGGGTTGATCTCCTCTAGGGCTGACAAGTTTGATCGCCTTACAGTCCAAGGGACTCGTAGGCGATCAAACCCCATGGACAGTACCAAAAGGAAAAAAAAAAAGAACCATTCCTACAGCCTACATTTCTGTGATTCAGTCTCCAACAACAACCTGTTCCATAGAGATTATTATNGTCCTGTTACATACATTTGGGTGATACATACTTACAGCAAAAAGTTCATATTTACTGAATTAATTTTGGTGAGATCAGGAAAAATGCCAAGTCCAGTATTCAAGATCACACTAAAATAAATAAATAAATAAATAAATAAATAAATAAATAAATAAATAAATAAATAAATAAATAAATAAATAAAAACAGGTAGCAAAGTGACTCAGTAATGTGCTTAATACAGAAAACAATTCATTTATTGCACTATAGCAGGGGTCCCCAAACTTGCAACTTTAAAACTTGTGAACTTCAACTTTAAGACTTGTGATTTGAAGTCACAAGTCTTAAAGTTGCTGAGTTTGAAGATCTCTGCACTATAGCCTCAGTATTTTTTGTATTAATAGCAACCAGAAAAACTCTGGGGATTTATACATGTACATTTTTGTAGATCATCTGTTAGCTTGATAATTAGACAGACAAGCAGAATGTAGAATATTTCAGAATTAATAATTAAATTTAGTATAATAAATCTGCTTAATTTCCATTCTCAGCAAGGTCAGGCAGATGCTTGCAGACCTATATATATTTGCAGGTTGATAGATTCTAATTTTCTTTTGGATCCAAATGAATTTTAACTCAATCCCACTGTGGTAAATGTATTATACTCTTAATTTTTGTAACTGTTGGCTGCATGATAGTATTGAGCATTTAATGATACATTTCATTTTAAAATTTGCTAATTGATTAGCATAAAAGTAACGGAGTGAAGATTATGTTAATAAAATTAATTATTTGCCTTTCCCCAGGAAATTACATTACATGGATTTTATGCAATGGAATTTAATTCTCCAATGCACATAGTCACACTGCATTAGATATTTTATAGAACATGAACTTCTTTTTAATTTAGAATTCAAGACTGAATTCGTCTTTTCCAAGTGAATCCCTAATTTTCTTAATCAGAACATTGCATCCTATTTTTTATGCCCTGCACTATATAAATGGCATTATAAATATATTTTAATAGTAATAGGTTTTGTCCTTTCAATTTTGGTCATAGGTCAAGGATTACCTATATAATGTTGCTTATATTTTAGCAATGAGAAGGTACATGTAGTACAATGACATACATTTAGGATGAACCTGAACAATGATTTCTCGGAATTTTATTTAAAATACTTACAGATATTTCAGCATTGGGAGGTTCATAAAGGCTTGATTATCTATGTATCTCAGATTTTTAGCATTTCGAATGTCTCTGTTGATTACATAAACACGTTTCCAAAAAACATAGTAAATTGAAAATCTTGTTTATTTGTAAATTAAACATATATTCAAAAATATAACAATAGATTCTGTGAAGCAAAACCTTATGGAATTTATAGCTTGTTAGTGAATGTTTTGTGCAAAATATGTAAAACATATTCGCTTCAGTCTTTCAGTATTATTATTCAAGTAAGAGTAATTCTGGTTTTCTAGGTTAATTATATTTCAGACAATTAACAAGTCTTTGATTTGCTTATTGAAGTAGGTATTGGCTCTGGTGGAAAAAAAACCCCATACTTTAGTTACTGAAATTAAATAACGTCACACCACAAAAGCATTTGGCCAACACAAAGAATCCTTATGAGTCTGAAAAATAGATGATGCTCGAGGTTTTAGCTAAATAGTATGTTCATTAATAGTTTAAAAATTAAGCAATTTATTTAGTATTATCTTATAGTTGGACACCCTTCAATTTGCTTATAATGGTACAGGTAGTCCTCAACTTACAACAGTTCATTTAGTGAATGTTCAAAGTTACAACAGCACTGAAAAAAATGACTTATGACTGTTTTTCACACTTACGACTTTTGTAGCATCCCCATAGTCAGGGGATCAAAATTTGGATGCTTGGCAACTGGCTCGTACTTATCACGGTTGCAGTATCCTGGGATCATGTCAGAGGTGGGTTCCTACCGGTTCAGACCGGTTCGGCCGAGTAGATAGCAATTCGGCCTGCACGTCCCAGAACCAGTTCTCTTGGCAGCGCCATAGGTGCCTCTATCTTATTTTTTGCTTATGCGCATAAGCTTTTTTAGTATTGTGCATGCACGCATAGCCCGTCTCAAGTGCGCCCGCGCACAGCGCATCCCTGAGCAACCCGTCAGTAACAGCAGCAGGAAACCCACCCCTCGATCATGTAATCACCTTTTGTGACCTTCTGACAAGCAAAACCAATGGAGAAGCTAGATTCACGTAGCAACCATGTTTCTAGCTTAACAATTGCAGAGATTCATACAGTTAACAACTATGACCAGAAAGATTGTAAAATGGGACAAAATTTACTTAACACCTGTTTCACTTAGCAACAGAAATTTTGGGCTCAATTGTGGTCGTAAGTTGAGAACTATGTGTATTACACATGCAAAAACAGTCAATGCTACGTAATGAAAAGAAATAATTATATTTGATTACTAGACAGCCAAGAACTAAAAATGGGAGTTGGCTCTTCTTCTTTTTGTCTCCTTGATTAATTTAATTGCCT